ATAAAGTAGCATTTCCACAATTTGACTGCAAATATTAAGTAAATGTTTAACAAGGCATCTCTTTTTGAGGAAGTTTTAATGCTAAGTTTGACGAACGTACATGTACAACATTGATTCTGACGTATAAGTATTGATGTCGTGGAATGAACTCATATTTCTATAAATTAAAATTGATCCTCAGTGCATCGAAAATTAACAATACCATTTGTTGATTTTTGCAAATAATTCATGTAGCATTTAAATTATACAACTTTTTGGATATATATTAGATCTAACGCTAAAACAATTCTTGAGACAATTTCTTATTTATTACTTAATCGGACCCAAAATATGTAATGCAAAATTCTAAAAATAAACATTTATTCTCCCATTTTACATGTATATTACATGTGTGCATTATTATCGGTGTAACATAAGCATAAGATAGCGCACATATATCGCACCAATAACGATAAAAGTATTATTACATGCATATGTATCACGAGTTCTTGTCATTTTAATGAACAATGAATTTAAAAACTTTTTGGGATAATACATGTATTTCGAACACAAAATGATAATTCAATTCTTATTTTTTTCCCTGGAAATAATTAGATTTTTTTCTTATAAATTATTAGGAAAATTATTTAAGTTAATGCAAATTGGAAATCCAAAAAATTTGTTCTCGTTGATTTGGATTCTAAAGTTACTGTATGGTGAAATTTTTGTTTTTAATTTGACGTTGTGGAAATGTTCATGGCCGGAATTCAAGGAATGGGTAACTATCATGTGATATTTTTCACTTTAAATTTCATATTTTCAAGAATTAGACATCTGATTATTAAATTTATGTAATGATAGGATCAAAATATAATGAAGCCAATACACGTACTATTAATAGCTAATCCACAGATAATAGATGAAAAACGGATACTTCGAACATATAAAGATATGTATGTGCGTAAAAATTGGAAAAATGTACAAAAAGCATTCCAGCCTGACGTTGTAATGATATTAGGAAATTTGCTGAATGAAGGAAGAGCATGGAACACTATGAGGTATTTAGTCTATGAAAAAAATTTTCCTTTAAAGTTTATTCAAATTAACTACATACCATTGATAAAATAATCGTTAGATGGGAATCCGAAATACATCGATTCAATCTTCTTTTTATGCAAATACCATCCTTTAAACGAGTGCCATTTTTTTATTTACCTGGAAAGCATGATATCGGATTTGGGAAGGATTCATCAGACGAGGCATACGATCGTTTTCGCAAAGTATTCGGTAAGACAAATTACTCGTTCAAAATCGGGAATCACTCAATCGTTGCTATCGATACGGTATCAGGACAAAATAACGATTTATCATTTGAAACAACTCATTTCATCGAAAAACTTGGAAAGAATCCAAATAAAGAGCCACGAATACTTTTCACGCACCTTCCGCTATATCAACCACCCAATACCAAATGTGAGCCACGACAACATAATCTCATCAATGAAACGAGTTCCAATTTTGTTTTGAAGAATGTTCGACCGAAACTTGTATTTAGCGGAGACAATCACGATTACTGTGAAATTCAACATGAGCCTGTGAATGCCATGGAGGTTACCGTTAATAGCTTTAATTTTGCGAAGGTAAATTTATTTTAATATTCCTAACTAGGGAAATAAATTTAACCGAACATATTTATTTATTTTTATTTAAATGAATGCTTAATTTTAGAATCCTTCAAAACCTGGTTTTGCAATGTTAAGTCTTTATAATCCATTTGATTCATCTGACAGCAACCAAATACCTACATATGCATATTCACAATGTTTTTTACCAAATCCGTATGGCATAACCCTTTCATATATCTGTTTGTGCTTCATAACAATATTCTACACACTAATATTCACATACATGACGCAAGGTCACAATCACACTGATAACTTTCCCGCAGACATGAAACGTCTTCCACGTTATTGGAAAATTGCTTTTAAAGAGCTGACAGTGATCGCGTTTTTCGTGTTGGCCACTTATTTGTGTTGTCTTGGTATTTTTTTACTGGATGATATCTTATTTTCCAAAATATATTTCAACGTAATATTTAAGCGAGAATAAAAAAATTTTAAATTTATTTCATATGAAAACTTGTTATAACAGAATTAACTTTCTCCCTTTGAATGCAAACTATCAAAAATCGATTCCTCACTTGATATTTTCTAAACATATTTCCTCTAGAATATCACGCCATTGGCTTTCTTTTCTTTTATATTTTTTAGATTTCAATATTAGATTTTTTATATTTTATTTATATTATTTTGCAATTTTTTATTTTTATACACAGTGACCCTCAATATTATATCAAGAGTTACTATATATTTTACTATTTTTTAATTTCTTATATACAAATCTTCTTGTATAAACTGAAAAGTTATAAAATTTAAATTCAATTTACTTAGTTTATGAATTAAAGAAATGTATAATTTTTTTTATATTTTTAACTTATATAATTATAATTATTATTTTAAAATAGATATTTAAACTATAA